TTCTTTGACCTTTGTTCTTTTCCCCCCAAAATTGCTTTGGTCACTTATGGCACTTGGTGTTTTCCTAAATGGTTGCAGCAACATCTTCCATTCCACGTGCTTTTTTTTCACTGTGACTTTGACATTCCTTCTGAGACAGGCTAGTAAGCCAGGATACACCCAATAGGGAAACTGAAACAGATAGTTAAACAGCAGTTTGCAGCCATCTAGTAATTTCTATCTTCCCTAAACCAGGGACACTAAGAGTAAATGGTTTCCATTTCTCGCCCACCAGAGGGAAAATAGCTTAAACCACCCTACTCCCGGAGACAGCAGGAATCCAAATTAGTGCCATTTGCCAACCACACCCAAGGACAGATGGAGTTGAGACTAAATCCCATTTTGGTACATCAGCATAAAGCTGATGAGTATTCTATTGAGATCCTCCCCTAAATGCCCAGCCTTTCAAACCCCTCAAAAATAAAGGTCCACTCCCCCACTCCCTTCTTCCCCTACAGGCATGCATCTCCTAAACTCAACCAGACCTCAGTTCTTGTCTCCTTGAAGGAAAGATTTCAATCAAGAGACAAAATGTAGAGAAGCAAGCAAGAATTTATTGACTGAAGCAGAAACATGCTTAGGACAGTGGAAGGGCATAGAAGAAGCAACAGGAGAGCCTAGCTGGGCTGCTTTGGCTCACTGGGAAGTCAGAGAAAAGGGGGCCTTGGAGACAGGTTCAGGGGTTAGCCCAGGACAAGCTATCGCTGCCCACTGCTCCCCTGGTTGTAAATGTCATGAGGTCCCTTAGAGGTTAGGGGATACATGCCTGTGGGGGGAAGAGAGGGGAAGGGAATGGCACAGGCATGGTCCCAGGAGGGAGAGCACCCTGAGACTGAGCTGCTGCTGCCCATTGCATCCCTGGTTGTAAGTCTCATGGGCTCCCTTAGATGTTTGGGCATACGTGGCAGGGCATAAGGGGTGGGGAGGGGGAGCACACAGGGACCTTAATTTTCAGGAGTTAAGGGTTGGGCATTTATGGGAGTTCTTAGGGGTGGATCAATAGAATATTCATCAGCTTTATGCTGACATACCAAAATGAGTTTCTCTTAATTTATCTGTCCTTGGGTGTGACTTGCAAATGGCACTAGTTGGATTTCTGTTATCTGTCTCACTGAGTAGGGTGACTTAAGCTATTTATTCTCTGGTTGGGGAGAAGTGTCTTTGGTTTAGGGAAGATAGGATTTACTCGGTGGCTGTAAACTGCTATTTAACTACTATCTGTCTTAGTTTCTCCTATTCCACTTGTCCTGGAATTTTCCTAGCTTCTTAGTATTCTGTATCACTAAGTGAGCCCACAAGGCTTGCAACCAGGGCAGTGAGGGGTAGTGGCATTTCATCCCAAGCAAACCCTCCTGAACCTGTCTCCAAGGCCTCCTTCTCTCTGACTTTTTAGAGAGCTAAAGCAACCCAGCCTAGGCTCATTTCCCCACCCAGTACTTCTCCTGTTATCCTAAGCCCTTCCTTGTCCCCAGCTTTAATAAACATCCTCTAAAATTCACCTGGACTCATGAAACGTTTCCTTCATGAAGTAAGAAACCACACACTACTGGCTGAGTCTAGGCAGACCCTTAGGCCAGGTCCCCTTCCTGGTAACACTTCCACTGAGTTGATGGGGTCTGTATTCCCTCTTGAATCTGAGCGGGAGTTTGTGGCTGATCCAACAGGATGCAGTGGAAGTAACACTGCTTGGCTTCTGAGGCTAGGCCTTAAATGGTCATTCTGCCCACCACTCAGACTCCCTCGCTCTCTCACTTTCTCCTTTGGAACAGGCACCCTTGAACCTAGGCACCATGCTCTAAGGCCGTCCAAACTAACCACATAGAGGGGCAGCCTGTGTGTGTGACTGTAGTAGATGATTTCAGACCCCTGCCTGTAAGTCTTGTAGTTGAAGCCTCACACATCATGCAACTGGCATGTGCTGTGATGCTGCACCCAGTCTTAATGCCTGATCCACAGAGTCTGAGAGCACAATCAATGATTGTGTTGCTCCATGAAGTTTTGGGGGTAATTTGTTTTATAGTCATAGTAACTGGAACAGTACACTGGGCCCTTTGCATCTTCATATTCATTTTAGAAGAAGTTTGTCAATCTTATCTTATATAATAAAAGCCTAATATGCTAAGTGTCTGGTTGTCTAGTGACTGGTAGACTGTTCAACCAATCAAAGTGTAATCCTACTATATAAAAAGCCTGGGGCTGTCACAACCAAAACAACTGGATGGAGAACCCAACGGCGGGCTGTTTAGGGTGACAAGGTTGGCAGGGGGTTAGTGAGGGACAACCAAACAACTGAACAGCAGGCTGTGTGGGGTGACCAGGCCTGCAGGGGGGGCAGTTGGGGGTGACCAGGTCTGCGGGGGGGGGGGCAGTTGGGGGTGACCAGGCCGGCAGGGGTGGCAATAAGGGGTGACCAGGCTGGCAGGGGGGGAAGTTAGGGGCAACCAGGCTGGCATGGGGGGCAGTTGGAGGTGACCAGGTCAGCAGGGGGGCAGTTGGGGGTGACCAGGCCAGCGGGGGGGGGCAGTTAGGGGCGACCAGGCCAGCAGAAGGGGGCAGTTGGAGGCGACTAGGCTGGCGGGGGTGGCAGTAAGGTACGACCAGGCCAGCCGGGGGGGGGGGGCAGTAAGGGGCGACCAGGTCGGCAGGGGGGCAGTTAGGGGTGACCAGGCCAGCAGGGGGGAAGTTTGGGGTGACCAGGCTGGCGGGGGGGGGGCAGTTGGGGGTGACCAGGCCGGCAGGCAGAGGCAGTTAGGGGTGATCAAGGATGGCCAGGGGGGCCAGTTAGGGGCGATAAGGCAGGCAGGCAGGTGAGCAGTTAGGGACCAGCGGTCTCGTATTGTGAGAGGGATGTCCGACTGCCAGTTTAGGCCTGATCCTAGGGAACCGGGCCTAAACTGGCTGAGGGCCCCCCCCCCCTCTCCAACAAAATTTGTTGACCTGGGCTCTAGTTATGTTAAAGCAATCACATGCTCGCTTAAGATGTGCACTGACCACCGGGGGCAGACGCTCCGACCGTTTGAGGTTAGCTTGCTGCTGGGCCAATCGGGACTGAGCGAGATGGGCCGGACATGCCCCAAAGCCCTCCTGTGGTCCCTCCCCGGCTGGCCAACCTCCCGCATCCCTCCCTGGCTTGCCGGCCCCGATCCACCTCGATCGGTCCCGATTGGGACTGGGCGAGACTGGGCCAGATGGGGCCGGACATGCCCTGGAACCCTCCCACGGTCCCTCCCCAGCCCCGATCATGCACTGGTGGGGTCCCTTGGCCTGGCCTGCACCCTCGCAATCTGGAACCCCTCGGGGATGTCAGAGAGCCGGTTTTGGCCTGATCCCACAGGCCACTCCCCTCGGGAGGATGCCAGAGGCAGGGCTCATGGCTGGTGAGCACTGCTGGGGCAGCCCGAGCCTCTCCTGATCAGGACCGATTGGGTGGGATCCTGCGGCAGGCGCAGTGGGGCTGGGATGAGAGGGAGTGGCAGGTAGGAGCTGCAGGTGGCATTGGACTGTGAGTTTCGGCCTGATCCCCGCAGACCACCCAGAGGGACCCCACCCACGAATTTGTGCACCGGACCTCTAGTTGCTAGATAAAAACCTACTTTTTGATTGGGATTGCATTGAGTCTGTAGATCAATATGGAGAGAATGAACATCTTAAAATATTGTCTTATAAAAACATAGAGTAATATATCTCCATTAATTTAGGTTATTCTTCATTTTTCTGTGGTGTTTTGTTATTTACAGTGTAGAGATCTTGTGCATCTTTCATTAAATTTATTCCTACGTTATCTTTCCACAGAGAAAAGGATTAGACATGTTATTAACTCTATTTCCCTTCTTGGACAAATCACTTAACTTCTGAGCTTCCATTTCTTTTCTTTTTTTAAATATATTTTATTGATTTTTTACAGAAAGGAAGGGAGAGAGATAATTAGAAACATTGATGAGAGAGAAACATCGATCAGCTGCCTCCTGCATACCTCCTACTGGGGATGTGCCCACAACCAAGGTACATGCCCTTGACCGGAATCGAACTTGAGACCTTTCAGTCCGCAGGCCGACGCTCTATCCAATGAGCTAAACCAGTTAGGGCCCATTTCTTTTTTTAAATATTTTTTTATTGATTTCAGAGAGGAAGGGAGAGGGAGGGAGAGAGTGATAGAAACATCAGTGATGAGAGAGAATCATTGACTGGCTGCATCCTGTATGCTCCCCACTGGGGATGGAGCCTGAAACTGGGGTGTGTACTCTGACTGGGAATTGAACAGGGACCTCCTGGTTCATGGTCGATGCTCAACCACTGAGCCACACCAGCCAGGCCTGGGCTTCCATTTCTTATTATAAAATGGGGTTAATAAATAGTACCTTGTTCTATGTGTTTAATTAGATGTACATGTTTATTGCATAGCACTTTGCCTGGTGACTAGTAAGAGCTCAATTAAACATTACCTCATATTATCACTGGAGAGCCACATAATACTCAGAATCTAGCAATTTGTGGGCCACTGAATATTATTGAGTTACTCCTGAAAAGGAGAAGAAAATGAAGGAAATCCATTTAATTTAGAATGCATTATTAAGTATTATTAGCAGTTTTTCCTATGTCTTTTTGGTGGTCTTTTTAAAAATATATTTTTATTAATTTCAGAGAGGAAGAGAAAGATAGAAACATCAGTAATGAGAGAGAATCATTGATCGGCCACCACCTCCACGCCCCCTACTGGAGATCGAGCCCGCAACCTGGGCATGTGCCCTTGACCGAAATTGAACCGGGGACCCTTCAGTCCGCAGGCAGACGCTCTATCCACTGAACCAAACCAGCTAGGGCTTTTTGGTGGTTTTTAAATTCGAGAGGAAAAACTAGAGTTACTGACTTTAAATCGTCTAGGTTGTTTTCCTCTAAGACAAATATTATTTGTTGATTTCAGTCAGATTTTCAAGAATTGCCAGTCAGAATTTCAGAACTAATTTACTATTTAAAATGGAATAATATTGGGAGGTTCTTATTCCAACTACCTCTTTTTAAATCTCAATCTAGTTAGGAATGGTAGTAATTTATTGTAAAAGTGGCCATGTTCTTATTCACTATCTTCATTCTTGTAGGGCACTTTGAGTCACTGGACCTTGCGGAATATGCTAAGAAGCAGCCATGGTGGCGCAAGCTGTTCGGGCAGGAAACTGGGCCCTCAGCTGAAAAATACAGCGTTGCAACCCAGCTGTTAATCGGCGGTGTCACTGGGTGGTGAGTGATGTGAAAGGTGGCCGGTGTCTGTTTACACGCTTTAATATCGTGGTGATAGGAATCACCTCCTTTAGCCAATAAAAGCACGTTGGCTTCTGTGAAATCGATCACTTAATGTGTAGCATTTATCGAAACATGTTAAAGTGTGATTTAATGGTTACACAAAGTATTTACTACATGCCATGTACTCATTTCCTTCTAACTCTGAAATCAGTACTGTTATTATTTATCCTCATGTCCTCCAGTTTTAGTGAGAAGTAATTGACATATATCACTATATGAGTTTAAGGTATATAGCATGATGCCTTGATTTACATATATTGTGAAATGATTACCACAGTAGATTTGGTTAACATCCATTATTTTATATAGATACAATAAAAAAGAAGAAAAAGTCTCCTTGTGATGAGAACTCTTAGGATTGGCTCTCTTAGTAACTCTCCTATTTATCATACAGCGGTGTTAACTCTAGTCATCATGTACTTTACATCCCTGGTACTTATTTGTCTTATAACTACAAGTTAGTATCTTCTTCCAATTCCCCCTCCCCCTGCTCTCTGTCTTTTTCTTTTTTCTTTCTTTCTTTTTTTTTTTTTGTTAATCCTCACCCCAGGATATTTTTCCCCCATTGATTTTTTTTCTTTTTAAAAAAATATTTTTATTGATTTCAGAGAGGAAGGGTGAGGGAGATAGAGATAGAAGCATCAATGATGAGAGGGAATCATTGATCGGCTGCCTCCTGCATGTTGGACCGAGCCCGCAACCGAGGCATGTGCTCCCGACCAGAATTGAACCTGGGACCCTTCGGTCTGCAGGCCGACGCTCTATCCACTGAGCCAAACCGGCTAGGGCTCCTGCATTGATTTTTTTAGAGAGAGTGGAAGGGAGGGGGAGAAACAGAGAGAAACATCGATGTGAGACGCATCAATTGGCTGCCTCCCCCATGTATCCTGCCTGGGGCAGGGATCGAGCCTGCAACCCAGGTACGTGCCCTTGCCTGAAATCGAACCCACGACCCTTCAGTCAGTGGGCTGACACTAACCACTGAGCAAACCAGGTAGGGCTCTCTTTTTCTAGGATTCTACATATAAAGGAGATCATACAGTATTTGTTTTTCTCTGTCTGACTTATTTCACTTAGCATAATGCCCGGTAAGTCCATCCATGTTGTTGTAAATGGTAAGATTTTCTCAAATTTTTAAGGCTAAATGATATTTTATATCATATATATATGATATGTATAGATATCATTTTATATATATAATATTTTAAATATTTCATTATATATATGTATATATATATATATATATATATATCATAACTTTTTGTGTATTTAACAGCCTGTCGACTTGTCTGATGGTGGTTTGGTTTTTGTAGGTGCACAGGTTTCATATTCCAGAAGGTTGGAAAATTGGCTGCAACAGCTGTGGGAGGAGGATTTTTTCTCCTTCAGGTCTGTATGTGAAATATTCCTAGGTGTTTGGAAATTCTGCGTGCCCATTAGGGATGTGGTATGAGGAGCTGTAATGTAACCCTGCCAATATTACACTAGAATAGTCTTTGCACTTGGATACATGTACTATTTGAAATGCCAGCGACCTTTGAGTCAGACTTCATCAATTACTAGTTGCATTTTATTTTCTCACTTTTAATATGGGGATATAAGTACCTATTTCTCCCTCTCACTCTAACCACGGAAACACCACCAGCCAGGGCTCTAACTTAAAACCTTTTAGAGAGGGGTAAGTGTATAAATAAAGTAAAAGAATTGCCAGGAGTCATTGAAGGGCTGTCTATTGAATTCTGGTGCCAGGCATAGGGCCTTGCACATAGGGTGGATGCCAACTAGATGTTGAGTGAATATCATTGTCATACAAAGTCCTGGATGGCAAATGTCTCAAAAAATGGAGTCAGAAGGGTTTTCGATAAAGCACTTCAGTGATTTATCCTGACAAAAAGAAATAATGAGCCTATGTTTCCTATTTCTTGCTGTTGTTGAAACTATAGATTGCAAACCACACTGGCTACATCAAAATTGACTGGCAACGGGTAGAGAAGGACATGAAGAAGGCCAAGGAACAGCTGAAGATCCGCAAGAGCAACCACTTACCTACAGAGGTGAAAAGCAAAGCCGAGGAGGTGCGACTGGTTTTATTTATGTGAAGTGTGTGAAGGGTGCAGACAGTTTTGTGTGTCCAAAAATGGGCTTAGACATCTATTTGTCAACTTTGGATGGAATAGCTTCACCTCAGACATTTTTAAAAAATATATATTTTTATTGATTTCAGAGAGGAAGGGAGAGAGAGAAAGATAAGCATTAATGCTGAGCAAGAATCATTGATCGGCTGCCTCCTACACACCTAAACTGGGGATCGAGCCCACAACCTGGGCATGTGCCCTGACCGGGAATTGAACCATGACCTCCTTGTTCATAGATCGATGCTCAACCATTGAGCCACACTGGCTGGGCTCAGGCATTTCTTTTAATCCTCACCCGGGGACATGCTTAGAGAGGGAGGGAGGGAGAGAGGGAGAGGGGTGGGGGGTACAGAGAGAGAGAGAAACATCAATCGGTTGGAGAGAGAGAGAGAGAGAAACAGAAACAGAAACATCAATCAGTCAGTTGTCTTCCATACATGCCGACCTGGAATCGAACCCACAACCTTTCAGTGCATAGGATGACACTCGAGCAACTGAGCCACTCCAGCCAGACCAGAGTCCTTTTTTTAAAAAGCTGGGCAATTGAAGTGTTTGGTGACCTGTCAGTGAGTGAGAATGCAAAGTGATATGTGCACGTACATGAGTCCATCATCTCTTGAACTAGTTCTTGTAGGGATGGGGCAATGCAGCCGGTGAGGAGGATAATAAGGATGTCAGATGGTACAGCCAATACAATCATTTTTTGTGTCCATGCAAAGAATGGACACATTTTTTGTCCCCTCCCGGCCTCCGCCACCCCCCGGTGCTTGCCCTCACCTCCCCCCCACCCCCCTGCAGTGTCTTGCATCTATTGGTTGTGCTTATATGCATGCATGCAGGTATATGAAAACAGTTTTTTTTTATTGAGTTAAAGATTTTTTTTTAATTTCAAGAAAAATGATCTTTAATGTCTAGCCTTGGGGGTGGCAACCTTTTTTTGTAAAGGGCCAATGGTAAATATTTTCAGCTTTGTAAGCCATGTTGTTGCAAATACTGAACTCCACTGTGTAGCACGAAAATAACCATAAATGATATTCAGACAAAGTGGGTGCAGCTGTGATGTGATGGAACTTGATTTTAAAGCACGCAGCCAGCTGGATTTGACCCATGGGTGTGGTTTGCACAAAACCAGTTTAGGTTATATTGGCTGGCACTGGAGAACAGGAAAAAAATTTTCCTTTTTAAAAGGATGTGTTTTGCTAGTGCTTTATTAGCCCGGCTGGTGTGGTTCAGTGGTTGAGGGTCGACCTATGAACCAGGAGATCACGGTTTGATTCCCAGTCAAGGCACATGCCCGGGTTGTAGGCTGGATCCTCAGTAGGGGGCATGCAGGAGGCAGCCGATTATTGATTATCTCTCAAAATTGATGTTTCTATCTCTCCCTCTCCCTTCCTCTCTGAAATCAATAAAAATATATTTGAAAAAGAGAAATATGTTAGATGTCCCAAAGTAATAATTACAGTGAACTGTAGAGAAATAAATGGCTGGCACCTCCCAGAGCCTGGAGCAATGGAGTTCTGGATTCACAGAGAAAGGGGAAGGATTTACGACTTAGGAGTAAACTGAATTAGGCCTTGTCTTTGAGGCACTCACACTCTAGTAGCAGTGACAGGAGAAAGTCATGTCATCAAATAGAATAGGTGGTAGTAGGTGAACTTGGGTTAAATGTTGGCAGATTGAACATAGCATTTCTCTGCTTCCTTCTGAAATATACCTAAATGACAGTAATAAAATAAAAGTGGTTAAACCCACAAGGACCAAGGGAACAGGAGAGGAATATCAGTAAACAGCAAATGTCAGCAAATTTGGGGGAGTTGGAAAGCACGTAGCTGAGTGGTAAATGACTTAGCAGACTAGAAAAAGGCTGAACACCATTCCGCATAGCCAGGTATACGAAGACAGTTTTTTTTTTAATTGAGTTAAAGATTATTTATTTATTTAAAATTTATTTATATATTGTTTAAGGTATTACAAATAGTAGTACATATGTCTCCTTTTTTCCCCCATTGACACCCCCCCCGCCCTCTCCTACCCCCCGGCCCTCTCCTACCCCCCGGCACTTGCTCTCAACCCCCCCCCCCCCCCAGTTCCCAATCAGTGATCAGTGCCTGCCTGCTGGCGACAGATCCCGTGTTGGGCGACATCTCCGATGGTTGGGGCGAACAAAGCCAACCAATTGCTCCACCGGCCAGCCAATTTGCCTCCTACCCCTTGATTATATATACAGTAGGGATGGCGAACCGAAACCAAGCACCGCAGGGGGTGCTCCCTGACGCACTTTTCTAGTGGATATGTTGTGTTAACTCGCATTGAAATATGTAAAATAAAACAGCAAAAAATAAGTCTTTGTTCTACTATGGGTTGCAAAAACACACATCTCTATAATGTGGGCAGGCAACCAAAGATAAATAAGGGGTTTTTGATAATAATAGACAAGGCG